TAAGGTCAGCAGTTCGAAACTACCAGCTGTTCCGCGGGAGAAAGATGAGGCTTTCTGCTCCCATAAAGATTTACAGCCTTGGAAACCCTGTACAGGATCGCTATGAGTCAGAATTGACTCCACGGCACATAACAACAACAACAACAACATCTATTCCAAATACTTCAAGTTGTTAGCAGGAAGTTTTGGTTTAGGATATTAGGTAACTTCCCCAGAGTACACAGCAAGGAAGTTGTTGTTGTTAGAATAAGTGCCTTGAAGTCGATTCTGACTCATGGCAATCCTGTATAGGGTGTTTGAGGCTGTACATCTTTGTGGAAGCAAAATGTCTCATCTTTCTCCTGTGGATCAGTTGATGGGTTTAAACTGCTGACCTTATGATTCCCAGTTCAGTGCTTATCCTATAGAGCCACCGCACTCCCAACAAGGGTGTAGTGGAGACAAGGTTTAAACCTAGGCCATTTCCCTTGAATTTATTAAACCACAAAAGTAAATTTCCTAAATATGTCTTGGACTCAGAAAATTTTAATTCAATGTGCTTTATATCTTCAATATTATAAATAAGGATTCAGCACACAACAATAATTTTGATTTCCCATAAAAATCTTATTTAGTAAATATTCCAGTTTTTTATATTGCTGCACTTACTATTATAGGAAATAAATTAACCTATTATGAAAAAAATTTTAAGGATCAAATGTTGAAACTCAAATCCAAAAATACTCTGATTAGCCCACTTCTGCTTTTTTATTCAGAAAATTCAATCAGACCACTTAATCCATAGTATCTTGGTCACTTAAATATTATTGCAAAGGAGATTGTATTGCTAGATTTGGGTACAATATTTTCAGAATTGGAGCCAAGGAAAATTGAAAAGCTACTCTGAATGAAAGTATTTCTGTTCTCTAAGAATGAAAAAACCTTCCCATGAGAATGAGGTTTTTGAGACAAGAGTCTCCATGAAACATGTGGTTGGTGTCAGTGACGTCTTGTAACTGATTATCGGAGGTCAAAATGATGCACTATGTGGTCTAGATCATAATTGTTATAAATATTATCAGTAACTTATAAAAGCATCTAGCTCAGTTTCTGCCTCAGAATAAAAGTCATGTAGGGCAATGCTGGTCTTGGTGTGGTGCTGCAGGATAAGCATTGGACTCCAAGGTTGGCTTGACCTGCAAGATTGGCAGTTCGCACCCACCAGTCACTCCTCAGAAACCCTATGCAGGGTTTCTGTATCAGTCAGAACTAACTAGATGGCACTTAACAACAACCAAAGGCAACTCTGAGGAGCCAATGACAGTTCAATGGTAGAATTTTTACCTTCCACGTGGCAGACTCAGACAGATTCAATTCCCAGCCAGTGCATGTCATGCGTAGCCACCACCTCTGTGTCAGTGGAGGCTATGCATTGTCCTGAAGCTGAACACGTTTCAGTGGCACTTCCAGAAAAGATGAACTAGGAGAAAGGCCTCACAATCTACTTCCAAAATTCAGTCAATGAAAACCCTATATGGTTTTGACAAGAGTCTAATCTGCAACGGATCACAGGAATGACCCAGATCTGGGCAGCATTTTATTCTATTGTGTATGGGGTCACCATGAGTTGGGAGCTCAGTAGCAACTAACCACAAGGCAGTGTTATTTCTGTTCTCCATTGGGTTCTAGGCTATTTTCTCCATAATTGTTGCTTCTCTCAGCATCAATATTTTCTCTGTTACCTCAACAGTAAGAAAACCTCTTAATAAGCTAATAAATGCAAAATAAAACTGCCTGCAGCAAAGGAAAAGCAACAATATGAATAATCAGAATGTGAGCTTCAAGATAACTGGAATTTTGTCTTGTATCCTCCAAGCATTGAACACATTTTGAATCTGCCGGACACATTCTAAGAACTCAATAAATACTTGTAGAATGAATGAATTACCTGGGAATGATCTATTAACAGAATAAGTCCTTTCACCACACTGACAGGGTCACCAGATGCTGACAGCATTTTGGACATCAAATCACTGTAGCCGTTGAAAAAAGTGACAGGTCTGAGCTGAACATCAAAGAGGATGGGTGACATGCCAGCATAGGAGTCAAGATTCTCTTCTCCCTCATCAGGAGTGGCTGCAATTAAGCCCTCCAGTCCTTGAGCTTCAATGACCACCTAGGGAGAAATCAATACAACATAAATGACACAGGTCATGTTCTCTACATGAAGGTCAGATTCTGAGCTACAGCTAGAACTTCTCTAGAAGTTAAAAAAAAAAAAAATGTAGGTAGCTGAAGACAGTGGGAATATAAAAACATAATATGAAGAAGTTTCTTTCCATTCAATCCTCCAAATATTCTTTGAGGAGTAAAATGATTCGATCCATTTTGTAGATAAAGAAATAAAGGCTCAAGTTCACATAACCAGTAAATAGCAGAGGCAGGATCCAAACTCCTCTGACTGGTCCAAAGCACATGCATTTTTCCATTTTCTGATGTCATCCTCGATATAAACATAAATCCTTGCAACTGGACCGATAAACAACACCATGTTAAACATAGAAAAGATTGACGTTGTCAAGATTTTCATTTTACTTGGATCCAGATACCAAGTGACTAAAAGATCACTTTAAAAAATTAAAGATTAAAGATTCACCTTGAGTACTTTGTGAAAATGTGCCTGACCCAAGCCACAATATTTTCAACTGCTTCATATGAATAAAAAAAGCTGAATAATGAATAATGAAGGCCAGAGAAGAATTGCTGCCTTTTAATTATGATGTTGGTGAAAAATATGGAACATACCATGGACAGCTAGAAAGCTGACTTAATGGAGCCTAACAACAAGTTTCTTTTACACTTCAAAGCAAAACTCAGGGAAAATGGGTTACCTGGCTAGCATGAAGATGAGACTTGCCAATGTACTGAAAGATGTTTAGGTTACTTCTCCTTAGAATGCCAGAACCGGAGTATAGTATATCAAGGCTGTATGTAGATGTTGAATAGGGATCACCTAAAGACAACAAAATCAACAACTATATCTTAGCAATTGTGCCAATGAACCAAGTTGGGCTGGGGCATGGAAGGAGCTGTTCTTTTTGAGTTACGTACGTTCTACGTAGCCAGTATAGGCAGAAGAGGAACCGCTCCTCGAGAAACGGTCATAATTGTGAACAATAATTTCCTTCAGAACTCGACGGACCATTTTGCTGCAACAAATGAAAGAAAAAGGTGCACATTCATTGTAATGACTGCTTCCCATGCCCAATTTGGAAAAATATAAAATCCTCAGTAGAAAAAACTAGGAGTCAAATTCTTCTCATGCCATACCATAAACAGGGAAGGTGCCAGTGGGAGATTCAGGAACAGGGTTTTCCCCTTCATTCCCCAGATTGTTGTTGTTTAGTGCTGTCCAGTCAGTTCTGGCCGATAGTGACCATTTATAGGGTTTCTTAGGTGTACCTGGTGAGCTTGAACCACCAATCTTGCAGTTCAAACCAATTTTGCAGTCCGCATTAACCCACAGCGTCACACCAGGAGCTTAATGTGGTATCAAAATAGCAGCAAGGAGAAGGTGTCCAGCTATAAGATGGCTGGTGGACACACCTCAAAGGAAAGCTATGGCAAAATGGACTTACGGTATGGTGTTGTAGGATAAGCACTAGACTGAGAACCATAAGGTCAGCAGTTCAAACCCACCATCTACTCCTCAGAAACGCTATATAGGGTCTCTGAGTCGGAACTGACTCCATAGTACTTAACACCAAAAAAGTATCAAAGTGGGGAGATTGTGCAATAATTCTTTAAATGTCATTTTGGACTAACGATATCTGTTGTTGTTATGTGCTGTGGAGTCAGTTCCGACTCATAGCGACCATGTACAGGGTTTCCAAGGCTGTAAATCTTTATGGGAGCATAAAGCCTCATCTTTCTTCTGCGGAACAGCTGGTAGTTTCGAACTGCTGACCTTGTGGTTCGGAGCCCAATTCGTAACCACTATGCTACCAGAGCTCCTTAAATGAAATATGATATATTTTAGGAATTTCTTAAAAATCTATGTCTTTTCAATCTATTCTGAAAATCAGCCGTTGGCAACTCTATGGATGACAGTGGTCTAATCCACAACTAATCTTGGGGACGGTACAACACTAAGCAGCATTTTGCTCCATTATGCATGGGGTTGCCATGAATTTGGGGACCACGACACAGTAACTAGCAATAACAACAAAAAAACCACTGTCTCCTCATTGTTGTTAATGCTATTAAGTTGCTTCAAGTTGGAACAACACTATATAGGGTTTCCAAGGAGTAACTGGTAGGTATAACCTACTCACCTTGCAGTTAGCAGTCCAGTGTTTATCTACAGCATCACACCAAGACTTCCTTTCTCCTCTAAGTAAGTGCTGATCCTTAACCATGCCTCTATGTGTCTACCTAACCAGTGTCAAGATGTTTCTATTTCAGGTTACTTAACACTAATCATATCAATCCTGGTGTGGTGCTGTGGGTTAATATGCTATATTGCAAGGTTGGTTTGAATCACAAAGTCAGTGGTTCAAGCTCAACAGTTGCCCCTTAGGAACCCTATAGGGTAGCTATGAGTCAGATCTGATTCAACAGCACTTAACAACAACAACAACAACAATCATATCAGTAATAATAAAATTATGACAACATAGCAAAAAATATCAAAACAATCAATTAAAGGAGTCTAGATCTGGGCCTGAGGTAGAAACAGAGGGAATGGTGACCTTGTAGGGATTTTTCCATAAAATCACTAGGTTATAAGAGTTCAGATTTAAAAGATATGACGAGGATCATGATTGTTGTTGCTAGATGCCATCGAGTCAATACTGACCCATAGTGACCTTATTCACAGCAGAACGAAACACTGCCTGATCCTTGACCAACATCACTACTGTTGCCACGTTTGAGTCCATCTATGCAGCCACTTGGCCAGTGCATCTCATTGGGAATCTTCCTCTTTTTCTCTGATCCTCCACCTCACAAACATGATATCCTTCTCCAGTGACTTGTAACTCCTTAAAATATGTCCAAAGTATGAGAGACGAAGTTTGGCCATCTTGGCCTCCAAAGAGCACTATGGCTGCACTTCTCCCAAAATGGATCTTTTGGTTCTTTCAGCAGCCCATGGCACTTTCAGTATTCTCCTCCAACACCATAACTCAAAAGCATCCATTCTTCTACAGTCTGATTTATTCACTGTTCAACTTTCATATGCATATGAGGTTATTGAAAATACCATGGCTTGAGTAAGGCACACCTTAGTCCTCAAGCTGACATCTTTGCTCGTCAACACTTTAAAAAGGTCTTGTGCAACAGATTTGCCTAATGCAATACGTCATTTGATTTCTTGACTGCTGCTTCTGTGAGTGTTGATAGTTGATCCTAGGATCCTCTATATCTGGACTAACTACTCACCTGGTTTTGTTACAAAGCTTCTACCTTT